AATGAGTAGCTTTTTATCGAATTGCAAGATCAGATGACTTTATGGACACATGCTTAGATTGACCATTTATGAACTGTAATAGTTTGCTGTGTTCTTCCCGTTAGATTAGATTTTTCTTGGTTAAGTTTATGATCGTTAAGTGGCGAACAGATATGAATGTTAACAAATTAGTACTAAAAAAAAGAGTATTTTCATATGGCTTCAAGCGTGAATCAAGTCAGTGGGACGGAGGGAGAAGGATGTAATGTAGTGGGGTGATGTTTTTAGTAAAAAAAGCTTATTAACTCTTTACTATCGCTTGCCTTGCAGGAAGGTTTGGAACCGGGTTTATTTTTCATATGTTAAAACCGGATTTAACCGGTTTTATCATATAAAAAATAAACTCTCCTGTCCCACCCACAGTGCAGTGACAAACAATAAGGTTAAATACTTGACGGTTGACTTGTGTGACAAGGTGTAATATCAAGCAGTAGAGTGTAAGGACCTAGTTTTGTTTTGGTTTTTTATTTTTGTAACTATGAAGCTCCGCGGCTACTGCAGTAGTACAAGGATTTTGTTTTTGTAGTGATTAGGCTCCGAGGCTGCAGTAGCATAAGGATTTTGTTTTTGCAGTGATCAGGCTCCAAAACTGCAGTAGCAGTGCAAGGACCTTAGTAATTAGGCTCTACGGCTGTGGTAATAGTGTAATACCTGGTTTTTGTAGCAATTAGGCTGCAGTAGCAGTACGAAAACCTTGGTAATTAGGTTTCACAGCTGTGGTAGCAGTGTAAAAACCTTGTTTTAGACTCCATGGCTACTGTAGTAGTGCATGGACCTCCGATAAATAGGTTGCAGGCTCCGTGGCTGAAATAACAGTGCTGTGTATTTAAAAAACCCAGTTTACTTCTAGTCACCATAACTCAATCCTGTATATATCTGAGTACTCACATGCATATGCATAACTTTACTGATACCGATCATCCTGGTCCTGCGTGGCACTGCGTGCTATGCAGCTATCTTATTATTGATTAGTTTTATGATTTCTAAAACATTTTGAGTTATATTTTTTAAAAAATTTATTTGGTTATATTATAATTTAAATTTATTTAAACATAGTATAAAAAATCTTTGGGCCTATTTCTTGTATATAAAATTATTAAAGAGAATAGTTATTGATATTATAAATCATAATCTTTTTGATAATTGTAATTTTACATTTTAAAAAAGTTATTTTACTAATTCTATTATCTGAATTGCACTAGAAATAATGAATTGGGCTGTTTTTAAATTAGATTATTTTGATTTATATATTAGTTTACTTGAAAAAGAGTACATAAGTAACAACCTGTAATACTAATACAGTAATAATTTACTACAATTAATGAAAAGTTTTCACTTTGAATACCAATATAAATTTTTAGTATTTATCTGCTAATTTCATTTTAACTGTGAATATGATATCAATTTATTTATTAAAATCTAATAAACTTTTTTAATATTAACCCTAAATCCTAATCTAATCTTGAAAAACTATGAAAATGCACACAAAAACTTTAAATTTTTATATTAAATAAGTCCAAAGTTTCAGCAATTACAGTGATAGAAATATGCACATTTTAAAATTCATGAATATTGAACTTTGTTATAAAATATAATAGATGTTTGAAATAGTGTTTATTAGCGTGATAAAGTTATTAAAAGTCTAATAGAAATGTATATATGTTCTCATGTAAGTTGCAATGATAAAAACATGTTCTGGTCACACAAATTACTAACTTTAACTATTTAAATTATGGAAGACTATGATCGTGATATGGATAGATTTGGATTGAATATAGTATTTAGAGCTCTAAATTACGCAGAGCTACGATAGAGTTTCAAGTGGTGGGTTCTAATTGAATAAAGAGAATAATTATTAAACTCAAACTCTGATGTTAGCAAAAGATTGTACTTTTATACTTTTACACTACTCTTTAGATACAATATCTGATATCAAATTGACTATATACACGTATTGTATCTGCTGTATCTGCCAGATCTAGTATATTTGTCAGAATCAATCTGAGCCATCTCGGTAACAATATTGGGCCCATTTTCTCTCCTAAAGCATGTGTGTGTACATGCATACGTATGTATATTATTGCTGTTGATAATATATATCAAAATACGATTACTAAAACAAATACTGTACATACTTCATCTAAAGTTTATCACACTGTACCACCGTTTGTTCGTTAATTTTAGCATTATACAAATCGTTATTAGATACTCTTTGTCATATAAATAAAAGTAGCTCTGAAAGAAATAAGATAATACTTAACAAAATGATTCAATCTAAAATAGACCATTTGATTCAAGAAAAAATTAAAGAATATGGAATTTATTTTTGTAGATATGATGAATTCATTGATATTAAAATAACTAGTAAATGCGGGTATAGCAAAATAGAAAAAGCAAACTGGAGACATCATGGACTAATAGTTGTATTAAAAAGTCTTAAAATCGGGCATGAAGAAATGATTGTCAAGGCATTTGTAAAAGAAGTTTGCAATATAAAACTATAAAAATGTAAATATACACTCCCCAAAATATGTATCATTATGATTATACTTTTGCGATATACTTAATATATTTATTTAATGCAAAAGTATTTTGAAAGAGTACACATTAAATAGATGCATTGTTTATTTATATTATGTTTAACATAATTATTATATAGAGCTTTATATATGGGGCCTTTGCAGTAGAAAGGGCTGATACTGGAATATATGCAATTTTGATATAATCGAGTTTTGTTTAGACTCATATGGGCAGATTTTTACAATTCAAATATATTACCTAAATTTGAATGTGATCTTCATGATACCTAAAAATAGATTAACCAATAAAATTGTTAAACACAAATCATGAGGATCGTATAACCAATCAGATTAATTAAAAAATTTAATATACAAGTAATATTAACGAAACTTTATAAGAAACTTTACAAGAATTTTTACAAGACCATACATTATTACTATATACTTTTGATTTATAATATTATGAATTAAATAATCTATTCATATTATTTATTATTTGACCCAAACATATTGCAGTATTGTATCTAATAGTTCTATATAGTACAATATTAAATCATTATAAAAAAATACGTAGAATATTTATAAAGCATTTTTTTTTTAAAAAAAAACAAAATTTTAATTTATACTAAATATCTTAATCATCCTTTACATCTTTAATTAGCTATTTCATATTTGTCTACAGTTTATCAAGCTATGAACATTTAAAAATTATTCTAGCCATATA